AGGGGCCAGAGAGTTCTAGGCAGAGCGACAGCCCACGAGAAGACCCTGAGGCAGGAGCAACCTTGGAAAAGGAAAGAGGCCTGCATGGTGGCAGCACAGCCAGCAAGGAGGACACAAGCAGGAGATGAGGCCACAAAGGTCCTGGGTGAGCAGAGCAGAGAGGGCCCAGGTCTGCAAACTTACTTCTCCCACATCTCAACAGAAGTTTCAAAACCATATATTTCCATACCTGTTTTAAGTAAACATGTAGTTTTTTTCTTTGTTTCATACAAGAATTATCCTATGTATCTTAAATATATGACAAGAAATTCCACTAGGCTCCAGGAAGTACAGGGTCCTCCTAATCTGAGATGTGAGGACTGCAGGGAAAGCATTCGGGAGAGCCGAGAAAGTCCCTCTGGGATATATGAAGGGGAGATAATGTTAGACGTCCCAGCACTCAGTTAAGGACACAACTGGACACAGGATTCTAGAGTTCAGGGGAGGGGGCTGCAAGGGAACCGGAGACATGTCAGAGGGGTTTAAACCATGACATGAGATGATACGGAACGGCAGTGGGTGTGGACAGACATGATAAGACTTTCGAGCACTAAATCAGGGGACACGCCCACATTCAGAGAACGCAGCTCAGGAGACACCAGCAGAGGAAACTGGTAAGAGATCAAGGTGACAGGAAAAATCTAAAACAAAGCAATTTTCAAAGTTTAGAGAGATGTCCCAAAGCAAACAAAAAAGAAGAAGGAATGATCAGCTGTGCAACAAGCTGCAGACAGGAAAAGACAGATGAAGAGAGGAAATTAGAAGGTGGATTTAGAAATGCAGAGGTCACTTGTGTCCGAGAAAGAAATCATCAATGGAATGGTGGATGTGCAAGCTTGTCTGGAAGGGGTAAATGAAGAATTCCAGGTAAAAATTCAAGACAGGTGACATAAAAAAGATTTTAAGGTTTGTGCTGAGGGAGGAAATGTCTTCCCTTTAATGTTTGACATACAAAAAAACTAATCATACTCAACACAGAATATTTTACCTCTAGTCCCGAATACGTGTGTGGTTTTTCCCACACTGGCCAGTTCTCTGGGACACTCCCACCTGGCTGCCCTACAATTTAACTCAATTTTGATACTATCGACCTGCACAGAGGGTCACATCCTACAGGTTAAGGACCGAGTCCCAAAGACTGCCCCTCCCTTCAGATGCAGAGAAACGTCATGGTTTCCAAACCCCCTCCTAGGTTTTGATTAGTTTGTGAGAATAACTCTTGCTTCTGGGTGTTCATCTACATGCTTTGTAATATCCTTTATAACATAAGGAAAATGTTTCCCAGAGTTTGTGAACAGCTCTATCAAATTAATAAAAAGTGAGGAAAGGGTCATGAAATACCCAATTTTATAGCCGTTCAGCCAGAAGTTCACGTCCCAACTTGGGACCTGGGACTGGCATCCGATGTGAGGCAGTTTTGTGCAACCGAGCCCTACATCTGTGGATCTGATCCTGTCTCCAGGTAGTGCGATAACTGAGTTATCTTGCAGAACACCCTGTTGGTGTCTGATGGAGAACTGCATGCTGATGAGGAGTAATCCCCACAGTCTGCTGACCAGAGGTGAAGTATTCTGTGTTCAGTGCTCACTACTGCATTGCTTGCGAATTAGGAAAAACACTTTGGTTTTCTTCCTGTCTTACACACTGCCCCACTCCCTATCCCATCTTGGGAAA